CGCAGACGATGCTCAAGAGCAGATTTGTGAGATCATTGCTGCGATGCACCCATTCGTAAGTTGCTCTCTAATGGATTCTTAGCGTTTTGATAATGATTCGGCTGACACCTAGTGTAGATTACCTTCTTAAATAGTATTGTCATGCCAGACTTCAATGCAGACGACGACGATGATGATAGCGACGAAGATGAAGAGGGCGAAAACGGCGGAGCGGACGACGATGCCGAAGGAAATGGCGACGCAGAGGAGACAGGGGACGAAGACGAAGAAAAAGGGAAGGACTGGAGCACGCACAAGTTCTGAGACTAGGTTCAGATGAGACACGCCACTCTCTTCCGTCTAAATTCCCCAACCCCGACCTAGAGGATGTGGTTATTCTGCTGGCGCGGAGCTATTGATTGGAACCTACAATGGCTCGACAGTGCGAATTTCAAATGGATGATGGACCATGGTAATTCTTCTTGTTGATAGTTTTGGCACATGCGAGAGTGCTTGTAGGATATGGAATTGGCGCAATGCACTCCTATGTGGTATTCGCTGGCGACGACTACCACAAAAAAATGTTGCCTTGATGGTGATGGTCCCTTGTTTGCCCTATAGTTCTCTACTATAATCTTTGATCGTGAAGTCTACTCGGATACCCCGCCCGACTCACAAGCTTCGGCCGCCCTTCGCGAACAAAAAGGTGCAATTTGTCTTTGTTGCTGGGGGCACAGCAGCCATCCATTGAAACACCTAGTGAAAGAATACTTCCTAGGGATTTATCGCTAGTTTATGTCGAGGACCCGATGGTAGTTGTGCGATACATAGATCCTGAGTTCCTAAGTCTCCACGTTTCAATCTCACAACACTTCTGCGTCTGCATCGAGTCTTTCAGGTCGTGTCGGGAACATAGTGAACCATCGGCTTAGATCTTGTTACTCGCGTAGACTTGGTCCAGACTCTGTACAATGAACATATGGCTTCAGAAAGTCACATCTGGGACTACTTAATCACAGGAATGGAAGCCACCAGACAAGAAATTCCTCATCCACATCCACATCGATATTCAGCCTCATTCACAAATCCACCTTTTACCACTTCGTCCACTTCGTCCACTTCGCCAAGCCCATTCTCTAAGCGCTAATCTAGCTTCTTGAATCAAAACCGCCTATCTTACCTCGATCCTTTATCATCATGGGTATCGATGTAACCAACGCTATGGTCGACTTTTGCAAGTGGGCTACAGCAAAGCGACCCGACGGCTCCAATCGTCGGTACAAGTATGGGGATTGCCACAACACAACCTGCCATTGGTCCATGGACTACAGCAAGGACTTGTGCCACTGCTTCGACAAAGTCGAAGCGGAACCCAAGACTGTTGCTGAGGATGCTGTTGAGGATGCAGAGAAGTAGAGAGTAAGTTTCGAGTGCAGGCACCACTGAATTAGAAGCTTGTTCTTCTTAATATGGCTATCAAATTTTTATTGATTTGGACTTGAAATCAGGATCCTGTGAGTCAGAATCGTAGATAGTTGAGAATAGATGTCATTGGTGGCTGGGTTACGGTATGCCAAAAAGAAGGTAGACTAAACGAGTTGTCGGGCCCGTCTTTCGACACAAGTACTTAGACGCTCATCGTCAGATTGGTTTGTCTAGAATACCATCTTGATCAAGTGCCATTTATCCCGGGCATGAACACTGCCAAAGTACGTATGCAAGCCGCCATGGCCGAATTCGTGTTAGTAACTTGACTTATGCTTGGAGTCGGGGCTTCGGCCCAATGAACAATGATCAAAGTCCCAGTCAAGTTTCTGGGACGGCATTGAGAAGACGGGAACAACAGACGAGTGCTCTCACAACGAAACGAACGGGAAATATGCGGAGTGCATTTGCATCCTCCAAGTTTTAGTTGTCAACGAGGTTCAGGGCATCATTTCGGCCAGCGTGGGATCACATGACGTGTGGTTTCGGCCAGTCACTGCGATTGGCCAAGCCGGATCACGGCGCCGAGCAGAGCCGGTAGCCCTCAGGGGAGTGATGGCTCCACAGGGTTGAAGCTGGTTGGACAAGGGGAAGTGGCTTGTGCTTCCAGCGTTTGTGCGAGCTTTGTTTCGTCAGATGTCCTGACATCCCAAAGCTCGCTGTTCAGAGAGGTCCAAGGGGACTTGTCAGCAGTCAGGTACCTTGAAGTTGGGTGATATTCTCCAACCATGTGCCTTGCCGGACCCGAAACTTTGATGGGCAAGATAGAAGCCAAGTGACAACTCTTCAATTTTTTGTGCGATTTGTTTTCCCCCTTTGTTTACCACCATGCTGCAGATTACTTGCTGTTCAAGTCCAGTTTTCGAGGGTCGGTTCCACGGGCTCTTGAGTGAAACTACGTCAGCGGGACCCAGCCCAGGCTCACGCGCACCCGAAGGGTACGTACCGAAGACACCCCGCGGAGCTAAGCTTGGAGGGCGCCCTGCCCCACCAAGACTGCCTCGTCCGTCCCTCATTCACTCACTTCATGCACATTCCATCCCGAGCCCGACCCGGAGCCCGATCCTGACGACGGACTACATATCTCTACCACTCACATCGTTTTCGAGCATCTGAACAACCTCACCAGCGACGATCAACCAGCTCTGCGCAGCTGCATCCTTCACCCTTATCTGTGAATCCCGAGGCGGACCACCCTCCGTTAGCAAGCGGCGGCTTTAGTGCCGAACCCCTCCTCCTCCTCCGGCCAGCCTCCTAGGTTGAACCGCGCCATCGTAGCCACCAGGTCTGGCTTGCTTCAGACCTGCGCATTTTAAACTCAGAGATACCTCACCGTAGTGCATTCCAAGCATCATGTTTTCTCAGGTATGAATGACCCCTCATCTTCTCACTCTCCGCAACATCGGGAGGTTACGACCGTGCGGGTGCTTTCGATGAGGCTGTATGGATCGATGATGGTTGACTGGGAGCTACGTTTTGAGGGCATGATGGGATGCCTATCTTGAGCCTCCGAAAGCTTCACGTAACCTCAAAGGAGCTTTGTCGTCTACCGAATACGCAGGAACTGACACCGAGCATAGAAGAAACCGTATTCCGCCGTCACGGTTAGCATAGAGACGCTGACCGCCGAGACATATGATGAGGATGATATGAGCGGCATTCCTGACCTCGTAGAAGTCATCAAACTCCAAGCTTCCGGCCCCGCGGAGGCTGCCCGCGCCATACGCAAGAAGCTCAAGTACGGCAACGTTCATCGCCAGCTCAGAGCTTTGACCATCCTGGATGGCTTGATCCAGAATGCCGGCCCGCGTTTCCAACGAGCTTTCGCCGACGAGACCTTGCTGGAACGACTGAGAGTCTGTGGAACCTCTGATCTCTCTGACCCTGACGTCAGAAAGAAGTGTACCGAGTTGTTCCGCAGCTGGGCTCAGTACAAGAGCACGCCAGGCTTGGAGCGTATTGCGAAACTGCACCAGGTACGGCTAACGTTGTTACTTAACGATACCGGCTAATTTGTTGTAGGAACTACCCAAGCGCAAGGTTGCTGTGACCCAGGAGCGATCCAAGGCTGTGCGGGAGACTGAGAATCCCTTTGGGGAGGAGGAAGAGGACAAGCCTCCTTCGCCCACCACCCGTGCCGGCGAGTCATCTAGGCCTCAGCAAACGCCGTATCTGCCTTACGGTAACACATCCACCGTCACCAACTCTTTCAGCCACTCCAAGTCCTCTTCCCATTCTGGCGGCTCCTTCTTCGGGTCGTCAAAGGATAAGAAGAAGAAGGACAAGGATAAGAAGGGCAAGCGCAAGCCCTTCAACCTGGAACTGGAGAAGGACGCCATGAAGAGCGCGATTGCTGAGAGTTCCATCGCCACTACCAACTTGACCAACCATCTACAGAGTATCAACCGTGAAAGGGAACGGATTTCTGATAACGCCCAGGCTGTACAGCAGTTCGAAAGCTGCAAACAGCTTCGACGAAAGATTCTCCGCTATGTGAGTCAAGTTTGCGCCTCGTCTTGCGATGATTTCTCTGACTAATTGCCACAGATCCACCACATTGAATCCGAAGAGTGGCTCGGCAGTCTCCTCCGCGCCAACGACGAGCTTGTCACGGCGCTCATGACTTTTGAGCAGCTGGACCGCTCGATTGACGCCGACAGTGACTCCGATGATGAACTTGCCGAGCAAGCTCACATGTACAGAAGTAAGCCTCCCCTAACCCAAATCACTTCTCAAGAGCTCCTACTAATGCATTGACAGTGGTGACAGAAAAGGCCAAGCAATCCATGTCTCCACCTCCTCCCGACGTCTCTGGTCTGAGCATCGGCAACACGCCGCCTCCCCGTCCGCCTGCTCCACCTCGCCCGGTCCCGATGGCGAGGCGATCTCCGCCCGCCCCGGCACCTGCCCCGGCGAAGCCCCCGAGACCTCCTGTCCAGAAGGTTGTTGAGCCTGACTCGGAGGAGGAGGAAGACGATGATGACCCCTTTGCCGACAAGAACGCACTGGAAATGCCAGCGATCGAAAGAGCAGAGCCTAGATGGTGATACCTGACCGCCATAACCATGACCCATCATACCTTTTCAATCTTCTTTGTACTTTCCCTATGTCATTCAAGGATATCCCGCCGCATTGAGGGGTTGGATTAGTGGTCGATAGATCGCATCAGGTGCAAGTTGAATACCTCAAGTCATCTAGCAAAGCGTCCCGTTTTAGACTTTTTCCTTTCTCCTCCGTTGATGGGCGATTCAAGAGCATACATGAAATCCTACTATTTCGGTGCTATTAATTTGGGTCGCCACTAAAGAGTACAGAACGTCCCGATTTCTGAACTTCCGAAATCGGTCACCGACTTCCCGCCGTTGGTCCCATCTCGGCCTCAACTCCCATTTGGGATCAGCGCCCGGACCCCCAACGTCCCCGCCGAGCACCCATTCCGGGTGTCCTCGCCCGATAAGCCCCCGCCGGAGATGCTACGATCCCGCCTTCCCTTCGGCGGCATGTGTTCAAATTCTGAACACTGTCAAAGCTATTCCTTGCGGGAGATGGAAGGCCCCTCCAATAGGACCCTCGCTCGCGGGGCACGAGGTTTCCTTCCTGACAGCTCGGCCGAAGCTCTCCCTCCTATGTACATCCTATCATCCTATGAATAACACGCAAAACAAAGTTGTGAACCCCGCGGTTCAATGTGACATAAAATCAGGGCCCCGACGTTACACCGCGGTGGGATTTATTGATCCCTTTCGATTATCGATAACCTTGAGCTACACTTTAGGGACCTTTTCCGTGACTCGCGCAACGGCATGTGGAGCGGGGGGGCCGATGGCAACGCGTGCGGATGGTGCATCGAAAGTGAGAAGTGACATGGAATAAGATGAGAAGGTTCCCCTTTCGGGAGGCCCTGTAAGAAAGACTCCCATGAGGCCATCGCGACTCGCGAGGGATGGTCCTGCATGTCATTTACAAGGATGGCGGAGAGAACAATGACACTGAATCTAATCGCGCACGCTCAACTCGCCATCGCCGAGCCGGGGCCAGCAGGAATGGCCATCAGACCTCCTCCGTCTAAGGGGTCTATATGAGCGAGTCCTCCTCCCTTTATGCCTCGATCTTGTCTCTCCAGCCTTCTTCAAGCGAAGGTCACTCATCCATCCCCCAACAGTCTGCCAAGATGCTCGCTCTCCTCGCTCTCACCGTGGCCATGGTCACCGGCGCCAACGCCGCTGCCAACACAACCACCACGCTCACTCCCGTCCTGCGGCCTGAGTGCAACAAGACGGACCCGGCCAACCTCGTCCCGTCTAACGACATCACCCTCAACTACGGCGCCGCCGACGACAAGAGCCTCGTCAGCGTCGTCCTGGCCATGAAGTACCCCTCCGTCGTCCTCGAGGAGGTCGCGGCCATCGCGAGCGTCGAGTGCGCCGAGGACGCGAGCATCACCGTCACGTTCAACGCGACGGCTGCCTTTGAGCAGACTTCCCAGCAGTGGCAGGCGCTCGACGACTTTGTAATGGTTACGAATCACCTGGGTAACTGTGATGCTGAGAATGAGCGCGGCTTCTTCTTGGTTGATACCGTTACTTGGGACGCCGAGTCTCTTCAGGTTGTTGCCAATGCCCACAAGAGCGACGTTGCCAACACGGCTAGTAAGTCATGCCTCAAATCTTACAGAAAGACATGTGCTAACCACCCTCACCAGCCTCGACGGAGATTTCCTTCTCCAATGTCCCCGTCCAGAACCCTGCCTCTTCTAGGCGTGACATCAAATGGGACGACGGCGGCGTGGAAATCACAAACACGCTCGCCCTCCCCGCTAACACGAACCTCTTCACCTACGACCCGTATCTCTCCGTCACAGCCGACGAGGCCTCTCTGACGTCCAACATGACCTTTTCCGGCACGCTGAAGTACAGTATCATTCCCCTCAAGGTCGAGCAGCTCGCCCTCGACATCGACACCACCTTCGATGCGGTCCTAGGACTCACTGTCGACGTAAAGGCGCCGTACTCTGGGAACTTCACCTATGATCCCGAAGACCTGGGCTACGTACGTATCACATTTAATTTGACGTTACATCCTTGTTTTTCCCCCACTAACACCCGGACCAGAACTTCGTCGACATCCCCGGCATCATCAAACTCGGCCCCGCAATCGGCTTCGCCATCGGCATTGAACTCGAAGCTGACGCCAAAGCCTCAATCACCACAGACCTAGGCCTCTCCTTCCCCTCGGCAAACCTTCACCTCGACCTCGTCGACGCCGCCGCCTCCTTCGCCACGGGCTGGGACCCCGTCTGGACCGCCCGCGCCAACATTTCTGAAAAGGCTGCCGTCGGCGTGAACCCCTACGTCGACCTGGGCGTCGAGCTCGTGTTTGAGATCCTCGGCGGCGCCATCGATCTTAGTTCGGGGGTGACCTCGCGCTCCAAGCTCGTGAATGACTTTGTGCTGTCTGCGAGCCAGGAGGTGAATGGGACTGGTATCAGTGTGGGCCAGAATGACAACACGGGGTGCGAGGAGGGTCTTGCGGTGAAGAGTGATTTCTTCTTCAGTGTTGTTGGGTTTGCGACGCAGTGGTGGTCGCAGGAGCTTTATAGTGTTGAGGTGCCTGTTGCTGATGAGTGCTATACTTGGTTGTGAGCTGTGGTTCATGGAGGACGATGATGCGGCTGCCAAGGTGATGGAATGTTACTGATGTAGTAATTTTATGAATATCGTGGCGATTTCACATCGGCATCGCCATATGCGAAAAGAAATCGGCAAGTCTAAAAACGACAAGCTAGAACGGTCCCTTCGTGTCCCTGGAAAGACGTCAAGTATGCTTGTCTAGGGTTATCACAACCGAGTACAGATGATGATAGATCTGAAGTAGTGTTTAGACCTTGCCTGCTGCCCGGTTCTTTCATACAAAAACGAGAGGAACCATCTTCATGGCAGGTGCTCTTTGTTCGGGTTCAGATCAGCCCTGCCGTTTACCTCGAACATACGGCATACGCCGAACGACTTCAAAAACAAGATTTTAATTCCTGTGGCTGTAGCTTGAAATAGATTCAAAACCCTGCCTTGGCTACCTATGCTTCCAAAATAAATCGCTGCTGCGAGGATCCACAACCCACCATCGGTTCTAAGTAATGAAGACATACACCTCAGTCTAGAGATAGGTAGGTATCTTTATGAGTTTCTCTCTGCTTCAACGACAGGCAAAAGACTTCAAAGGGTCAACGGCGTGATAAGACCCATAGTCGGATTTCCCCGGAAAATGTCCAAAGCTACGATATCATTTCTTTCTTCCGAAGGTCATGATTAATACGTATTTCTGTCATATGAGTACTAAACGATCCCTTGCAAGATGGCCTGGTGGACGGAAGATCCTTGAGAAATTATCCTGACTTCTTTTACGACCTTTTCATGCCGGTCCTCTCTCTATCAGACCAAGATCTTGCATTAGCGTTCACTCACCACAATCGAGGAACCGAGCCCCGTTAGTGTTATGAGTTTTCATCATTACCACAGATAATTCGAAGCCGCGACTCATTTCTACCCAATCACCAGCCTACGTCTCATAGTCATGGACTCGTTCATTGTGATACTTTCTGAAGAGCCTCCTAAATCACCTCGGCCCGCCGTTTCCCTTGGCTCTCGGGGATAGCCGAGGCACCAAGAAAGGATAGGAAAGAAGAGTGTATGAGGGGTAGGAGTATGGCGGCGGCACATCATGACCCAAGCTGCCGCTGCTCTTGATCCAAGCCCTAATAGGATAAAGACCGTGCTCGTGAAGAACTCGTTACCTGAAATCGATTCCATAGCAAATGATAATTCCTTTCGAAGTAGTTTCGGCTTATTGAGACCTGCCACTCGGTCAAATCCCACCACTCGACGTGGCAAAAGGCAGCGGAGGATTTCAGCTTGCGACAAAATCATACACCACGAGACCACTTCCGAAACTGCGCCCAGTGAGGCATCATCAAGATGGAGCCGCTCCAGTCAGTCGGTTTCCAGAAAGTGAGAGACCTGTGTCTCGACATTCGTCCCGACAACCCGCTCTAAGCAGACCATGACACGGCTCGACATCCATGTACCTAAGCTGCTTTTCCCTTTCTTCAGAGACCCCGTAGCCCTTGTCTCCTGTTATTCGGTACGGCATATCGTCATGAGATCAGAAATATCACTCGCACGATACGTACTGTGTCTTATATAGACCAACGGAGCAACTCCTCCACGTTTTGTGGTCATTCGAAGCGGACTGAGTGGCGTATATGATGTTTCATGGGCGCATGCATCTATCTACTGCATGCACTGTTGATCTATGCACCTTATTTGAAGCAAAAACACATGCAGATTTCGTGAATCTTTGCCGGAATGTCCCTATGATAGATATAGAAGCAAGTCGATCACTGTTCCGAACAAAGCACATAGCCTAGAGTGCTTTCGCCAAAGACAGGGGCTTTCCTGAAAGTCCCAATCCTATTTTTATAGGCCTCGAAGCAGACTTGCTCATCACCGCCGGTCTCACCGCTTGTCGTGGCGGGTGTCGTAGGATAACGATCACATACACGGTGAACGCATGCATCTTGCCTTGCTACCTACTTATGCACCACGCCAAGCTGGGACGCAGCATTAAGGAGCTGCCACGACACAGACTACATTTCCAGGCCAGCTGCAACGCCTGAAACGTATATCGATCTCTCTTATTCTGCCTGAGCTACGCGGCGGTGAGGAAGGCCGCCTTTATCCGCCGCGTTTAGCCTAAACCACGCGAGTTCTCGATCTGGCATCTACCGGTGAAGAAATCCTGCACGCGACCCCCTTGCCAGTGTGGTCTGTCCAATCTACCGGGGATTGATTCGAGACAACATCTCCCTGAGAGCTACTCCCCATGTCAAGGAACCGAATCCCTGGGACAGAGATGCGGTTGGACTGTCACTATAGCGATGATGGATGGCACTGCCACTCCGAGTCGCGACGCCATGGGTGCTATTTCTCTGACATGATATGATGTTCTCTGGGGTATAAGGAAGTTAGTCAGATGCTCCATACATTAACCATAGCCATGTCAGTGCAACACGCTCGAAGAATCTGGGGTGCGTGGCCCTTTACTACACGGTGCCAGCCTTGCCAACAGTGTCAACATGGCTTCAAGGACTACTTAGTGTATAATCAATAGTATTCAAGTAAGGGATGTTCTTCCTCCGGAGTCCATAAATATGTTCTTCTTCAAAATGTGAGTCGCGAACATTTCGTTCTAGTGCGGATCCGGGTATCAAACCAGTAAATGATGCATGCATCATGGAAGAAGTTTTCCCTTCCCTCAAAAGAACAGTAGAGACACTTGGCCCGAAATCCCGGGCCCGAAACTGCTGAAATAATGTCACCTGGCACACAAATTCTCACCGAGTTACAACATCCCTGACAGCTCGGTCAGCCACAGGCAATACCTTCAGCGGAAGGATTTCCCAACAGAGTCACATTCCGCTCTCTTCAACCTTGGCTTAGCAGTTTGACATACTAGAACACCGGGCCGAATAACGGCTGAATAAAGTAGCGCATCGTTTCCCCCTCAAACAAGCCGTTACGCGTGGCTGTCTTGATCCGTGAAGGAGCATCCTGTGACTGCTGATCCGAAGCCAGAATCCGCAGCTCGTAATCAACGGAATCCAGGAAGGACTTGGACGGGCTGTCCAACAGTGTCCGAGACCCCACGTCGGCCGTACGGCCCCTCTCTCGCTGAAATATCATTCCGGTTTCCTCCCTGTCATTCACGGACAATCCAGCTCGCGCCCGGCAGCACAAGGCCGGGGGCGGGGGAGAACCAACTGACCTCTCGCGTCACAACATCCCGTGCGACGGTACCCAGGAATAGACAAGATCTGACCCAAACGTGTTACGCATTGCATACATCCTCAGGACGTCTTTCTTTTTCTTCCCTTGTTCGTCTTACCTCTCTCCCCACGGGACGTGCCCAGGCCCCGCCGCGCAGTGCGAGGGTGAGCCGAGGATCGTGTCACCCTCTATCCCGTACCTCAGCCCAAGGTCTGCATACATGATTGAAGCACGATTACCACACATGGCAACACCATGGGTCCTGCTGAACGACCCCGTCCGAGGCTGTCCTTCGTGGCACCGCGTCTCCTGGCTTCGGCTCGGCTTGCGGCCTCCACTGGCTGCGAGATTTGTCGGGCCGCGCGATCGCTAAGCCCAGCTCGTGGCATTGGTCTACAACCTGTCGTACTCGGAGGCGGGCGGGGAGGCGCGAGTACCGTATATGATGACTCTGCAATGACCTGCCTCGAATCTCTTGTGGCTTGGTCCGACGGCCGCGAGACACCTATGATGGCCTATCTAACAGCACACCACGAGCCTTTCTCTTGGGACATGCATGTCTTCTGAGACCTTTCACCAGTCTGCGATGGAAAGAAGACGCGAAGCATGGCGTGAGAGGCGGATTCCTGGAACGGACCTGCGCGACAGCAAATTTGACTCCATTACACAAACTTTTGCACATGACCTTCACAACAGATTCTTGCGCACCCTCAAGGGACCTTTCAATGCTCTCTCAAGACTCTGGCGATAGGTACAGGATACTGTCTAATGCTTATGTCGGCCAAGATGCCTTGTGGTGATACCCTTTTACGAGTTCGTGTTGGTCGTAGCTGTGTTCCTCGTGCTTCTAAATAGTCACTCGAGGCTGAACAGATCGTCTGCGTAAACTCGTGTTGGAAACTTGCTCTCTTGCTGAATCGGAAACGGAACAATAGTTTTCATGCCATGTTTCCTTGAGCTACACAGAGACAGCGGGCTCTTTTGAAGCCGAACGGCTGCTTGCGTTTACCGCTCAGGTCCAAGGTCCAGACTGGTGCTGCTCTGGATCATATTGACCTATCATTTCGCAGCAGACTCCATACGGGGGCACGTCAGGGAACGAGGAGTTCGTCATTCATCGATTGAGATGACTATCGCCATCTGACACCTCGCGATTTCTGATCTACGCCAACTTGTTCATCATCTCAGTCCGAAAGTCTCAGGATCTCGGATGATGATAGTATTTGGTACTTTGCAGGTACTTTCGAAACTTACACGAGGGAAGGAGCAATGATTTGGGATCTAGGTACAAGTATGGATGTGCATGTTGAGCTCATCGAATCGTCTATGGGTCGAGCACGATGACCATCCTTGGGGAGCTGGCCCGTGAAGACATGTACATGTCACAGCGCGCACCAGACTATCGCTTGGATAGAGGATAGAAGACCAGAATTCTTACGGGGTCCCCAGCCTCATCAGAAGAGCAGTGATCTCCAACACCCAAGGTATCTCCTCAGTGGAGAAATCACGTCCATGATGCTATCTCGACTCGTTGTAGGTAAGCCGTAGGGTTCAACGGTAGCCTAGTCCTTGCCTCCTTGTCGCTACATATCTCGTCAGACACCTCGACGAGTGGTGTACGAGCCTGCTGGTCTCGTCTTCAGGAAGAAAGTCTGTATGTAGTTCTCAGTGCCGTGGCCGATGTACCCTTCAGACACTCTTGACTATAGCGTGTAGACCGCAGTGGAGAGGAGTATCAGTAAGCCATCCGACATTGCAGTCTTTCAACGAGATTGTGCCGGCGGGAGCGAACGTAAGAACGATCTCTTTGGATCTGCTAGCGTTGGAAGGTTTCCGCAATGCACCCATGAACACTGCGGCTCCCTCCGGATCCTGCTGTTGTAGAAACTAGCTTCGCCGCCAGCCTACTTCATTCTAACCCTCACCGATGTTACAGACAGATTTCCCCACAAACTCACCGAGAGTGATGTCGTCAGCCCACGTCTGACCACCAGTCTCTCTTTTCCCAGACCAAATTGTCAGCGCCTCTCAATTTTTCGCCAGTCAGGCTTCCCAGATACGCGAAAGAGGTAATATCACGCCACATAAGCGTCGCTACAGTATCTCGGCCCGCAATCTGTCGGCGTCAGCAAGATCCACGCCACTCCCGCTCGCCACGGAAGATCCTACCGCAAGATATGTCAAAGTCAAAGGAGTGAAAGGCCTGAACATGCCGCGTGGGGGATGAAGTTCAGGTCATGGAGGGCACCTCCAACGGCCGTATGAATTACATCGTTGGCACGACACCTATCATCTTGTGGTGTTCCCCTTTGCATCGACAAAACAGGACCGGAAGCCCCACGAAGGAAGTGATGATACTCACCTAGTCTACCTAAAATAAGGCCCCATTCAGTAAATGCGCTGCATGTTTGCGCACCTGACGATCAGAACCGAGGTCCCTTTGCTCAGCCGCGGCGCCAAACCGCCAACACATCAATCATACCCAACCTGACAAAAAGTCATGGATTTTGGAGGGAAGACGTCAATGTCACGCTGTGCTGACGGTCATTTCCCTCATCACCCACCGCCACGGCCCGTCCCCAGCCATACTAAATTCCCCAAATCTTTCCGTAAGCCCGTGATTACCGCCGACAACGGGGGAAGAATTGGTCCAACAAGAAGGCTTCTGGATATTGACTGAGACCACCGAGGGGGGTTTGGTGACTCAGCTGAGGCCTGCCCGTCCGCTGCTACCGAGGATGCGTGGGGGCTGACTTTAACACTGCTGCTGTCTCGGCCTGGCTTGCGCGCCGCCGCAGACCTGCAGCGAACATCCCGAGGCACAAGAAGCTGTTCAGAATGACAATGGCGAGCGTCTCCGCATAGACTCGCGAGGACTGACACGGAAGGCGAAGCAGGGAGCGACTTGCTGACCTAAAATGCGACTCGTGATGATACCCTCATGGTCAAGCCCCAAGCGGCGATGGCGGTAAGTCGCTAAGTCATACGCCTTCCGGCCGACGCAGTTCCTGCAGTAGGCGGCGAGCCGGCGGTCTAAGATTCTTCACCGCATCTCCGGTCCCTGACTCTCTCCCGCAGTAAAAGAGCGCGGCGCGGGGCATATCGCCGGGCAGATACACATGACTCCCCGCTCCGCCTCAGCGTTTATCCCTTTCTCTGTCTCCGATGAGTGAAGGGTCCTGGCACCATACCCGCGTCAGCAGAGTCAAAATCACGGAGTCAATAGTCATTAGCCTAGCTGGAGTCGATGGTAGTGCCACATGCGCTTCGATTCCCCCGCCTTTCGAGGGAAATCTTCGCTCTTTGCCGGCAACCGTTGGAGAGATACAAGCGTGCGGTACGAGGGGAAGAAGGGCGCTAGTTGCTGAAAGCAGGCACATCTGATCTGGTGGTGTGAGAATAGATATTTGGCATATGCTTTTTTCTGTTCTTGCAATAATTTGGCCGACCTTCCGAATAGGGCACTCGTTTCCTTGGCCACTATTGCGATGGCGCAGGTCAGCAGCACCTGGACGGGCAATGTGGATGGCCAGAGGCGGCAAAGAAGTTTTGTTATTGTGTAAACACCATTTTCCACCGAGGTTTCATTCTCAGACTGCGCCGTTTGCAATCAGTACATGCAATTTTGCTTTTCCATGCATACCGCGTGATCCAATTTTCAAGTCATCCTTGACCGAACAACGTCGCAAAGAAGAAAGGGGCAGAAATACCAAACGATGTTCCCAAACCACCCAAAACAGAAAGTGCATGTAGACGGAAATAGTGTCTGAAAGACGGTCCTGGAGCTCTTCCGTTACCAAACGTAGATTGTAACCTCGCGCTGTCGAACAAGCACACATGAGGGTGACGGGAGACGCGAGTGTGTGAGTGTGTATGTGTGTGCCCCGCGGCAGCGCTTGAGATCAGAACAAGCGCCGCCCCCGAGGATGGGAACTCAGCAGAGATATTTTCGGGTGATGCGCAGGGCGGCACAGACATCGAAGCATACTTGGGGGTGAGCAAGAGACCATTGAGTCGCAGCAATGCGATGCTGAAGCCTAGAGCTGCAGCACAATGACGGCGATCGAGAGGCTCAGCAGGGCGATGTCCAATGACAGTAGGGAGACAAGCGGTTGCTGACTTTGCCTTATCGATGCCACCCACCCTCTCACCCATCCATCACTTTACATACAATTGTCTATGGGCGGAAGAGGAGGGGGAGTATTCTTCAACATGTCTTTCAGGAGTTGCAAGGGGTCCATTCGAAACAGCATTACCAGAGGGTGAAGGAATCCTTGGGGCGCAACCTGTTGGAACGAAATGGAAGACAGCAAAACCTGGGGTTGCAACCGTCGACCCCAGGATTGCAGGGAATCTTTTCCGAACGCAAACGGATTTGTTCCCGCAATTATTGTAGTCATGGGAACAAACAACGGATCAATGTCTGCAACTAGCCTCCGAGACAAAGGAAAGAATAAGCTGGAGGATTGAACAAAATTGGGACCAAGAAAATAATAATCAGAAAATTGAATAATATTTCATCTTTTTTTTCCCAACGTTTTCTATAGGTCGTTGTCTCATCTCCAGCCTGTTGACCACGATCCGTTTTGATACCCACCTTGGTGTTTCCCGGATTCAAGGATCACGTTTCTTGGTTCACCGTATCTTACAAGTTGCCAATGCATGCGGTGAAAGTATCATATTCCATACTCCCGGTCTTAGTCGTCACATGTCCACTCTTCTCGTTGCTGGAACCTGGCCGAACGACCAAATGAGGAAGCCGACGAAGGCACGAGAAAGGTTGGACTGCCGGGCATAAGCCGAACCGACGACAACGCCACCATCTCCATTCAATGTCCCGCATGAGGCGATATTCCGGGGAAACTTCGTGGAGGTCCCACGTACGGCATTGGCAAGCCTCGCAGAATGCGGAGAGAGAGAGAGAGAATGAGGGGGCTTGGCAAAAGCTCCAAAGTATCGACGACTATTGTGGACCTAACTCGGTATTCTGTCCGCCGAATGGTGCGCCAGCTGGATAGTTAGCTCGGGAATCGGCTTTAGATTCGCCATCTCTGACCAGAAGCAGAGTCAAAGGAGTTTGAGCGCGTGAGAAGCGTAAGAAACAAGAACTGTGAAAACGTTCATCCGGGGGGGCATTGTAGGGTGGGACGAATGGAAAACATGAGCGTAAAAGCTAACGAGATCAGATGAGAAGAAGAACCGGAGCGCGGTGGACTAGGACAGACCCTGAATCGTGCTCAGGTTGTGGTGTGCACCCTGATTTTTCTCCGAAATCTCCTAGTACGGCAAGGTGATTGTAATAGTACGTAAGAACTAGGTGATCAAAAAGTTGGTTCTTCCTGGGATGGTGATGGTAACCAAAAATCAGGGTCTACACTTTGACAATCCAATGGTCAAAGTTGGCAAAACCATCTTTGCGACGGTTCCAGTTTCTTGGTTCGGAAGTGGGATGAGGTGCAAAAAGTGTTGAGTCGTACCAGAAACGGAACGCAAGAGAATTCGCTAAAGAAGACGTCAGTCGGAGAATTGGCGAATCGAGGATTTCCTTGGTCTGTGAATGGTTACAACGCGAATGCGACCTCGTCCGTTACAACTTTACGGAGAGTGTTCCGAAGCGCTTTCCATGGTATGCCACTATGCCCACCATACACCGTCAACCAACCCCTCTCCCCCCCTCCACGACTCCAAGGAACGGGGTCTGATACTCCGCCCTCCGTGTCACGATGCAGCCTGGCGGACGCCATCTGGCATCTTGTCTTTTTGCTGGGCCAGGTGGGCTCTAGTAACCTGACCCCTCTCGTCGGAATTATTGGACGCAGAAATTTTGCAGAGCATCGTGACCTTACCTGAAGAATCACCACACCCCCTCGACTCCTCTGTGGCGAGCAATTTTCCCATTCGTGGGCCAAGGAGTATGTGACAGAGAGTCCCGGCAATGTGGATAGGCTACACTAGACAAAATGGAACTCGGTGCGACTGCGGTGGTGATATCTAACGGAGCGGGCCCCGA